GGCAGTGCTATGTTGGCTAGCACTATGGAAGAAAGAGACTTGGGGGTCATCATTGACCTCCAGATGAACATGAGCCTGCAATGCGATGCGGCAGCTAGTAAAGCGACCAAAACGCTGGCTTGCATCCATAGATGCTTCTCAAGCAAATCCCGGGACGTCATTCTCCCCCTGTACTCGGCCTTAGTGAGGCCGCAGCTGGAGTACTGTGTCCAGTTTTGGGCTCCACAATTCAAAAAGGATGTGGAGAAGCTTGAGAGAGTCCAGAGAAGAGCCACGCGCATGATCAGAGGTCAGGGAAGCAGACCCTACGATGACAGGCTGAGAGCCCTGGGGCTCTTTAGCCTGAAAAAGCGCAGGCTCAGGGGTGATCTGATGGCCACCTACAAGTTTATCAGGGGTGACCACCAGCATCTGGGGGGAACGTTTGTTCACCAGAGCGCCCCAAGGGATGACGAGGTCGAATGGTCACAAACTACTTCAAGATCGTTTCAGGCTGGACATAAGGAAGAACTTCTTTACTGTCCGAGCCCCCAAGGTCTGGAACAGCCTGCCACCGGAGGTGGTTCAAGCGCCTTCATTGAACACCTTCAAGATGAAACTGGATGCTTATCTTGCTGGGATCCTATGACCCCAGCTGACTTCCTGCCCTTTGGGTGGGGGGCTGGACTCGATGATTTTCCGAGGTCCCTTCCAGCCCTGATGTCTATGAAATCTATGAAATCTATGAAAACCCTGAACAGCTGGCAGAGGACTGTGGGGTTAGGCTGTCCTACTAATATGGAAGCTGGAAGTTCAAGACCAGAACAATGCAGGTTGTCCCCTCACTGCACTTCCTTGCTGAACCACTAGAGCTTTTTAGCAACTATTCCTGAGAGTGCTATCCTCTGACAGTTTCCTTCACTCTTACATAAGAGGAGAGAGTGATGAAATAACTAATAGGGCTGTGCAAAATTTTGCCGGGTGTTTCATTTTGATGCTGTTTCAATTTGTTTCAAGCTTGAAACAGCGAAAACAAAACAAAAGGCTTCGAAACAGCTTCAAAATGAAATAAGGGCACTTGAAACGTTTCTAGTTTGGAAGCTGGGCTTGCATGCAGGGAAACAGAAAGTAAGGAGAGGGAGGGGGAGGAGGGGGAAAGGACTGCTCTGATATTGACTGTGTAGCTGGCCAGTGACTGTGATTCTTCCCTGAGGTCCCCTCCAATCCCGGTGCTCTGGGGCAGGGACGGAAAAACATCTGCACCTCAACACATGCACACAGTCACACATCACGAGTTTTGGTTGTCATCAACTTGAGGTGCAATTTCCCAGAAACCCGTGCACCTATCTCCTTGAAAGCTGGCAGGCTTCATGGCCGCAGCAGGGGCTACCATGCCTGCTGTTTTCACCCTACTGCACCTTAACACACACATGCAGTCATGTCACAAGTTTTGCTCTGAACAGTTTCAGGTGCGATTTCCCAGAAACCCCTGCACCTATCTCCTTGAAACTTGACAGGCTTTGCGACCTCACCAGGGGCTGCCCTCCCTGCTGTTTTCATTTGAACCAAAGTTATAGGCAGTTTCATGATTCTCCATTATAACCTATGGGCAAAAGGACAAAACAGCGTCAAAACAGTTTTGACAAAATGAAATGGGACCAGCACTTTGAAACTCAAAACAAGACACTGTCCTGCAGAAACTGTGAAACAAAAGTTGAAACAGAATGGTGCTGTTTTGCACAGCCCTAACTGAATCTCTCCTCTCATCCCAGCTACATATTCCAGGTTGTCTATATTGCCATTCTGTCAAGAACATCTAAGCTGACAGTTGCTGCTATGTGCCATTCCTAGCAGATGCAAATTAAAAGGCTATAAATCTTCTAGGGAGATGTCTGACTTCCTAGCTGTTCACAGTAAACAGCGCTCTGATTATATACCACCTCCTTATTTTCTGACTGATTTGAAAAGTAATTATCTAACTGCCTTTGGTAGCTTTAGTATCAGGCTCTGCTTTATTCAGTTGTGGAATAACAGCCCCAAAACTATAAGTGCACCATAGACTTAGGGCATAAAAGTCATAGCTTTAAGCTCTTAGTAAGTGACTTTTTGATGGATAAAAAGTCAGCTTCCTGTAATCCTCACAAGTGATAAAAGTGGATCTCTTCCTCCCCCTTGATGCTTACACACACTTCCTGAACCTTAATCTCTTCTTGCTCTTTAAAGTGACCATTCCCAGAGCAAGTGGGCTTCAGCCCAGCAAATATAGTAACAAAGAAATGACCTTTCTGCCTTTGGAAGCTGTTCCTCTTATTCTCGGAAACAAGAGAACAAGTCAAACAATGCAGACTCCAAGTGGAAGTCTAACACCATCCTGCAACCATCTCTATGAACTATATAATACAGCAGCTTTTACAAGCCCAGTGAGATTTGATACCATTCTTCCCAGCCTACCAGGTCAAACCCTTTACAGACATGGAAAACTATTCAAATCTTGCCACCCTGCAGTAGATTAACTGGTATGTGCAGTTAAACATTCCTTCTAGAGATGTGCTTTTTTTAGCCACATCTATAAGGTGTGTCTAAGCAGGTTTCAAGTGTTTTTTAATCAACTTTAGCCCTGTCCAGTTCTAGCTCTTGCTGTGCAGTCCAGCATGTAACACAGGCCTACTCTGAGGCATGGACAGCATCTGTAGACAACATAGAATTCAGGTCCAATTAATGGTTTAAGAAAATTGAACTCCCAGTCAGTAAGGAACAAGGCATGAAAAGGGAGTGTAACTGGGAATGTGAGCAACTCAGCTTGTGGTTTCCATGGATATCTAGGGTTTACAGACAGATGCACCTTTTAACCAGTTTTAAAAGGGAGGAGAATTTGCTAGCTGTGAGGACACATCAGCTGTTACTGCTACATGTTCTTATGCACTGATTTTGCTACACATCTATAGCTAATTTTAATTCTGAATCCTGATAAATCTATCTATACCCTGATACAGTTTGGAGAGGCAATTGAGATTTCCTTGAGCTACAACTATGGATAGGACAAAACATTAGTATGTCCATCAAATGCATGTTATAGATGTTAACATCTTAAAATCCACATTAAGGGAGTACAGATATATCAACAGCCTTGAAAACATTTAGTAAAAAATGAATAATTCACCTGTTTTGCTTGCTACTCTGTTCTTGCAGGCTGTATCGTCTCATACAATCACAGCCATCCACTCTGGTCACCCCTTGGATAGGTTTCAACAGCTGAAAAACATTCTTCCTCTGTGGTCTGTGTTGAATGTAACTGCATAACTCCATCCCCTATTCCCTGACTGACTTGAGAGTGTGAAATGATCTATACAAAATTTGAAATCAATATCATTTCACCATTATCACCATTTGATCCCTTGACTGAAGATGAAAGTAGCTCTGGAGCTATTAATTACCTAGCATTTTATACTGTCCGTGTTGTACGCATCCCAAACTTCCAACCCTTTCTCAGACATTGTAAAAAGAAAAAAAAAAGATGACTTTCTGAAATGATCTCTTCACTTTAAAACACACTGCTCCTAACCATTTCCTGGAAAAGATGATGGTTGACTGCATTAGTATACACAGCTGATCAGAGGAGATAATGTGACTGACTGATTCATCTCTTTGTTTTGCAGGCGAGACTCTGCCTCTTCCAGGCAGCACGGACTGTTTTAGCTAATGGAATGAAACTCCTTGGAATCACACCTGTATTAAAGATGTAATAAAAAGGGCCCCTGCAATGTAAATGAAAATTTTCTAGTAATTTTTTTTTTATAGAATCCAAACTGTTGTAACAATCATTTGTACCCAATATCTGCACTTTCACCCGTGCATCATGCTGACTAAAATATAGTATTTGCAGCATCTTATGGATAGGACCCTGTTATCTGCACCACTCACTTGCTTTCTCCCGTTAATTATTTTGTAGTGTTTGAAGTAACTAAGTCTGATTGATTTGCTTCAGTATAAATTGCTGGTCACGTATAAATGAAAACAAAGCAACTGAGGTATGTATTTTGTAAGTAAGAGTGTAAGACCATGTCTTTGGTAGTGTTAAAGAAGAATCTTTTTCTCACTTGATCTAGTTTTAGAATTAAAATTTTCTCCATGTAAGAGTTTTCAGGTGCAAATGCATCTCCTTTTCATCACAAGAGCCCCGTCATCTTTCTGCCTGTTGTAACTGGTAATTTCCTAGTTGATAATCTATCAAGTTGCATACTGTCTACGGAATAGCGATGTTGTCAGGCAACAGCTGAGGGGCTTTTGATTAGTTTCAATCAGGTTGTCTCTCACTAGCACTGACTCAAATCCTCATGGATATTCAGAAGTGAAGGGTCTCACTGAACATTTCCCTTTCACTTACTCTTAACTCATGTTTATAGTCTACAAAAGTAGGTTTAACTTTTGTAATCCAAGTTTGTCTAAACACACTCAAATCTTTCCATGTTCTAAGCCTTTTTGCACTTTGTAGTGATTAAGCTCATTTAAACTTAGTAGTACAATAGTGGTGTGTGTCATAATGATGTGATTCCATTTAAGCAAACTAATGTTTGGTTATTTTGTTTCTTCTGAATTTCACATTGTTCTTTTTGTCTCCCACTTTCAACTATATGGCTGAGACCAAGTGCTTCACCTTTTCACCACCCATTTATCTTTTGTATTGAAACTAGTTTTGGGGATAATGAAACAAAAGCAGCAGTTACCACATCACAATTTATTAATGGTACTTATTGAGCACCATGTGCAATGTCATTCTTATGGCACATAAGAGCCATGAAGATAGTAGATGGAAGGAGGGGACCCAAATCATTGTCCCTTGCTATTGTGAATGACTACAAGTAACAAAAAACCTTGTTTGTCAGACCAGGAAAATAAGCCACTCTGTCCTTGTAGGCTAGTTCTGCAGGCAGCCAGCACCCCTGCCAAACTCAATCTTAATGCTTTGTTTAAAATGAACTAAGTGATCTAAATTTATGATGAAGGGAGGAATAAAGGAAACAACATTCTCATTTTATGAATCGGAGCCTGATGGATTTTTTTCACACTGAATCAAATGAGTATGGTGAAAAGTAAATCAGATAAGCATCCAGGAATTGAGAAAGGGGAAAGAAACTAATATTTACTTTCTTCTTCCATCTGTTGTCTTAAACAAGGAAGTAGTACACCTGCTATCCAATGCACTGAAGTGTAGCACTGGCAAGGTGTTTTAAATTATGACCTTTTCCACCATGTAAACAGTGTCCAGATCTTTCTTCTTGCTATTAGTGCTCTTAATATGCCCCACTTCAGGTAAATGACCGTCAACTGATAGAGATGCATAAACAGCAGTTGGTTTGCCCATTCTTGCCTCATGGAAGAACTGAATAGTCCCCGTCCCCTTGAATCCTTCATCTTGTTTCCTCTGGCAAAAACAATCAAGGCAAAATAGAAAAAAAAGAAGGAAGGAGTCTGAAGCAAGGAAGAAATGAATCTTCTCACAAGCCCCTATTTCTTTCTTTTCAGCAATCATAAGTCCCAGGGCAGCTTTTGATATTCAGTTATTAACCCCGTCTCCCTCTCAAGCAGCAGAGATCTCCCACTCTTGGATGCCTCTGTCAAGCAGAGAAAATTCCCACAGACAGCAGTAGCAGAGAATAGGATATGTCTGCCACAACCACCACTGTCACCTGTCGTTATGCCCCAACCCATATTCCCGCTCCCTATAATTTCAGGGCTTTAGAGAGCCTGAATAGAGTCAACCACTATCCTCTGGCTCAATTCTCTGTTCTGTCTGTTACCAGTGCCATTATGGACAGAAAAGCCTCCTAAGCTCTCTGGAGTAGTGGTAAGGATACACCCAGCTACATTCAGTACTGATATTTCCATTTTGTTTGTGTAAGTCTTTCTTCATCTTTTAAAATACAGGAGAAAAATAACTGCAAAAGTGCTTTGGAGGGGTAAGTCCTATTGTAACTCTCTCCAGAAATCCACAAGTGGCTTATTCCAACAAATACAAGGGCATCCACTACTGTCAGTGTGGGAAAGTTTACACAACTGTACAAGCACTATGTGTTTTAAAGCAAGTCTTGATTTTGGCAGCAATTCCTGTTTAAAATAAACATTCAAATGTTCAAACTCAAACATTCACATTCTTCTTTTGAATTTAATTCATTACGAAATTCAACTTAAAAAGATGCACCAAAACCAATTTTCTATAAATAAAATTGTACAAAAGTGCATTGTGTCCATTGAGGGGGGTTGAATTTGTCTAGGTATCCTAGAGTCCCAGGTTAACAAAACTAGGGTTCTAACATAAGGCATTTATTCAAACTACAAAAAAGTTTCACTCACTAAAGCAAACATTAGAAACATTCTTTGAAATGTTAAATGCAGCAAATTGCCTCTGTGCAGTGGCATGTAGAGCTATTTGGAAGAAAGATAAAAATTTGTTCATCTGACGCATACAAACTATGTGTGCTGACTTAATTTGGAGATATGCAGAGAACACTTACCCAGGTATTCACTGGCTTCCCCCACCAAATGAAATCTGACTTCATAAAATATACCTAACAAGTAGAACACTTTACAACAGTTTTATCAGGGCATAAAATGTTCATATTGCAACTATGCTTTTCAAGTCATAGTGGAAAACAAATGGTCCTCTTAATGTGAATTTTGACTCTAGCCCATTTTGGCAAACTTTACATATTACAAAGGTAATGCCCAAAGCAGTGTAGATGAAGTATGATACATTTTTTCTCTTTACAGTCCACTCTTGGTATCTTTTTTAAAGTTACCAATGGAAATGAGCAACCAGTTGGTATTCAAGATGATACGCAGGTTGGTTTAGGAAAATTTCTCTTCCCCTAGGAAAATCAGACCAACATTTTCAGAAATCCATTGCCAAAATAGTATAAGAAGGAGCTTTGGCAACAAGATTCTCTTCTGAAGCTTCTGGGCATTTCTGCCCACAAGTGAGATGATACATACAGTATCAAATATATAAGAAACCAGTCTTTTTCTCTTGTTTCTGTACAATGGTTGGTTCCTTCATTCTCCTTTCCAGATATATAGGCTCTTCATAATCCAATATGAAATAAAATATTTTACATGTAATACTCCTTCACCAGCTTGGAATCTCTCATCCTGTGGAAACCCTTCATTTAATTCCAATTTACTTCTTCTGTTTTTATTTTAGGTCAAGTCTTCTCATGACTAACTTAAGGCTAAGTTTAAAAAATCCAGTTATTTCAAGTCTGTTGTTTGCATTGCCTGTTGCTTTTTGTTAGGACAAACAACATCACACATGCATAAGTCTCTCTTTCAAACTTTTCGGCTCCGATGGCTGGATTTTTGTGGTATCTTGTCGCGGTAAGCCATACAGGTATATAGAAATGCACACAAGGACAGCACCAAGTGAAAAGGTTATAGCTGGAAAAAAACAAAACAGTTTAAATACACGTGCCTCAGGAAGAGGAAGAGCAGGAAGACTACTTTTACAAGAGATTTAGTTTTTATAGAGATAAATTCTACTATTTAAATAATCATCCTTATCAAGGAGAATAGCATACTTGTGCCTTTGAACTGTTATCCTGTTAATCTGTAGAATTCAGTATCATGCTTTGACAGGGAAACCGTTGCTAACTTACAGGAAGCCTTGTGAGGCCAAACAGTCAATTCATGAATGAGAATATGATTTGAAAAGCAGAAAGATGTCCCACAGTTCTATATTTATTCTGCCTTATCTAAGTGGTCTGAGGCACACATGTTTTAGCAAACTCATGATTTGCCTCTACAAATGCTGTTTGTTTTTCCAAACCTACAGTGTAAGTACTTACTAAGAATGAGGTTCTGATAGCAGTTAATAGCCCTAAAGACCTGTAGACCAGCCAGTCCATGTCTGTTCCCTCCACTCTCTAGTGTCTCAGTCAGTCATTCTGGTTTTAAAAAAAGTTGCATTCATCCACAGCTCCCTCCCCAAGCCACTTAGAAAGACTTTTTACTGTAAAGTTTACTTCCACATTTCATCTCGTTAATACCCTGTCTCACATCATTTAAGCAAATTTCTCCACCATTCTCCTCTTCCCATTTTTGCTTTCCGACTCTTTCTACCACCGAAGGGGTAATACAAAACACAGGATTACATCTATGTTGGAAGATCAAGCAAGCAAAG